AAATAACGAAATATGTTTTCAAGTGCATTCCTCTGCATGCTGCTAAATTTTTGTCCAGCACCAGTGCAGTGCTAAAAATATAGGGCTTACAGCACCACATTAACGTCAGCTGAAGTCTCCTTGGTTTATATATTTTTTGCCATTTTGGTTAACCAATTATCCGTTCATCAAACCTTATGGATACTCAAATACTTAAAATATTTGGAATGCGCATCTCAAAAAAATTTTTTTTTTCATTAGTTGAATTTAAACTATTTTATAGGCCTGTCACAATTAGCAAAAATATGCTGAATACAATTATTTGAGCTGACCACCACTGTCTTCCACAGTTGTTAGCTTTCACAATCCTACTTTTACGTTAACAGATTTGAAGCAAACGCAATACAGCATGAAAGCTGGAAATGCATTTATTAAAACGTGTCATTGGTTGCAGGAAAACAAAGACAATTATTTATATGGCAGCTGAAATTTCACAGGTTTAATACCGGGAAATAATTTAGTACATAGGCACTATTTGTATTTGTCCTAAAAACACATTTTATTTCTAGTTAAGTACAAACCTTTAGGTCAAAATATCTTTATGATTCTGAAAATTGCATATTCAGTCAGGTATAGTTTACACTGTGGCATCCACAGTTGCCATTCAGTCCATAAGAACACACAAAACCTTAAGGCATATCTGATGTACACTGTACTGTCTAATGGTGATTACATAAAGGAAAGTAAAGACTAAATCATCTACAGAGGATAGAAACGTGTGTCAACACACATACACACACACACACACACACACACACACACACACACATACACACACACACATACACACACACACACACACACACACACACCTCTTAGACCTCCTGGGACTCTATTCTCGGCTGGGGGTTATTTGAGGCCTATCATTTCATCTCTCATTCCTCCTAATGAACCCAAGCTCACTAATAATGATCCTGGGTGTCCTTCAGAGCAGCAAGGACAGCCAGAACCTTTACACACACGCACACACTCTCACACACACACACACCCAGTGGCCTTTTGCACAGCCAGAAAACTCTCACAGCACTCAAGAGAACAAGTGTAGCTCCACTAAATGTGAACTTTTTGCAATTTGCTGAAGAATGGAGAAGATGGATGGTGCAGCACAAAGGGCAAAAAGCCTGGCAGTATTTCAATTAACATATTTTATATCCACTGTATCAATTCAGAAAATAGTGGATGTTGGTCCCATCCATAGTAGCTTCTCACAATCACCCTATGAAACAAGAAAATACATTCACTGCAAGACTATTGCTTTAAAAGCACAAATGAAACCAGGGATCAGTCTTTGGTCAGTGCAGTTTTGTTTCTCTGACTGTGGCTTCTCTGCTATCACTTTCACTATTCAGTATTAATTCAGAATGCTTTTAAATTATTTTGCTACAAAAATAGGAATTATTACAGATGTTTGAGCAATATAAATATGCATAAAATATTTATATTAAAATAATATCCTTTGCTCAGTGTAGGGCTGCCACTATTGATTATATTAGTAACTGCGTAATCTCCTGATTAGTTGGATGATTAATAGAGTATTCAGAATTTAAGAAAAAGCCCAAACAAAAAAAAAGACTGAACAATAACAGTCCATACATACTTTAATATAACAAAAGAGTTTACTGGAAAAGGATAAACCGAGAAGCCTTTAAAAAAGACTACGTGGCAAAAAAGTTAATGTAACTGAGGCTCTTCTCTCACTGTAAAGGCCCAGTCACACTAGTTTTGTCAACAAAATTTTACAAGCAATATCAACGGAATTTGCTGTGATAACTGAATTTGTGACTTTCAAAGCAAATAAATTTCACTTACAAAATTTCAAATTCAACTTAAGATCGTCCTTGAGCAATACCACTACTACTTAGGCTATGTTGACTTCTGAAAGGGCCGGGATTCTTTTAGCTAGGGCTTTTTGATTCCAGAAATTTTGGATTCAAGTCCAATTCCGATATTGATTCCACACAATAATCTTGATTTCAAAATCCACACAGAGAAAAATACAGGCAAAAATAAAGACTATAATATTAATTATCTTTGACCTTAGCAAGGAAATTGGGAGCGCTAGTGCTACCTAAATTAGGCCTGACACAAAAAAAGCTATTCTACATGCTGAACATTTTTAAAATCATTATTGTTGCAGACAGACACACACGTGATGTATCTCCTCTGGTGGCAGATACCAGGCTCACTGCTTTCATGGGTTAACCTAGCTGACTATCGGAGGCTGGCTAAGTTGTACCTGATTCTCCTTTATCAACTATTCAGGTGGGTAAACATTTCAACAATGTAATGTTCTTTGATTGTAAGCAAATTTTAGAAAATGGCATTTTACTTCGTTTCTCCATTGTCTAAAGTAAAATACAGCTGGACCATTGATGTATGTGTTGTAGAAGGAGGCTTTTTTCATACAGACTATGTAGACAGTGACAGCACAATATCTCTTGCTCCTTGTGCGGCTAACTTTAACAACACTGTATGGACGCTGCTTGGAAATCTCCATTCCCAAATATCTGGAATCAAGGATTGGATTATTGTTGGGATCGACTCCTAGCCCTACGTTTAGCTTCATTAAAGATTCAAAAAGGAGGAAACGCTAACTGTAGCAGCAAAATCCTATGAATATTTTCCCTGTTGGCTATAAATAAACACATGAAAGAGAGTTTAGCAATCAGTTTAGAGACTGTATTATTATCTTTACTTTTGTGGTCTTGCTGTTTGTTTTAGAGTGTTAGCCAGCTTGCTAACTGCTAGCTTCTTGGCAAACTGCAGCTGCACACATCAACTCACCTGCTGCCAACCATGACAGTTATCTGAACTTTTTTGCTACAGATCAATTTGCAGCAAGTTTATAATTATCTAAAAGAATTATGTTGATTTTTGTGTCGTTACTGTTAGGTACCATGCTAACTTCACCAACAGAGAGGGTTTTTTTTGCCACCAATTCTCTGGGCTAGTCACACCCAATTAAACGCATTTGTTTAGCATGGCTGCAGCTTAAAAGAGTACAGCAAGACATTTTAAAGTATACATTATTATGAAGGAAACGGCTAATAGGTTTTTAAGTGATTAATTAAGTTTGCAGCTCTATTCTACATCACAGAACTCTTTCAGCAGTCTGTCAGTGCAGAATGAGAACTCGTGCTTTTTTCATTCACAACCAGAACTTCTTAAAATGAAATGCTGATGTTAATCTCCTCTTTTCTCCTAAGGGGGGTTTAGGAGAAAGTTCAGAAATCAGTAATTCTTCATTAATACATTATTGAGATCTGCTTTATTTCTCTGAGACAATCTTAAGAAAGACATTTTTCCCCCGTGGTGAAATATCATATTTTGCCACAAAAAATGAGAGATTTCTCCAATCTATTCTCCCACTCTCCGTGACAGGTATAGCCAATATTCAGGAGTTATATTAATTTAATTCTTACACAGGTCTATTATTCTGGGTGTCCAGGGTGTTTGCTACCTTCCACCCAATGACCGCTGGGATAGGCTCCAGCACCCCCGTGACCCAGAAGGATAAGTGGCTTAGATAACGTGTGTGTGTTGTTAAAGCATACATTAGTCAGACAGATGAGCCTCACAGCAGAATGCAGCACGTTCTGGTACCACTGCTTCCTCCTGTGGGGAATATGGCCAAATAAAACCAGGAAACCAAGAAACTTCAGCAAAATGGAGGGTCCTGATTCCAAACAGTGCTCGCGCCCCTGCTGAAGAGGCTCAATTAATGCTGCCCATGCAGGAATCAAGCAGGGACGGAACAAGTTAATTGGGATCAATCAGCTAGGAGCTGGGCACGCTCCCCTGGGCCGCAAGGCTGAGCCGAGCCGGATCTGACAGCGATTGCTTAAAAGATTTGTTAACCACTGGGAAGCTGGTGACGCGGGTGAGCGTGCCTGACTCAACACAAACTGGGAAGCAGAGGTACAATTCAAAGTCACCCTCATTACTGAAGAACACAGTCAGTGAGAGAGATGCAGAGGATACAAACCACCATTTTAGACTAAATTCTACTACAGCAAGCCTCATCTCAAATGATGCCAAGCATGCAGTCTATTCAGCTACGTTAATAGAATCTATGGCCTTGTGATGATAATCACGCTTAAAATGAGACAGAAAGATGAAGTCCTCTAGAGCGCATGCTGTAAGCAATAACAAAAGCAAATGGTTGAAAACCCAGACGGCTCAGGCTTGCAGTAAGTGCCTATGACAAACCATCTGTTTGGTCCGTAGCAGATTAAATGGGCCCATAAAAAGAACCAAAACATGGTATGCAACCTCACTACTTAAGTGTCTCCTAATGAAATCAATAAATTGGACTTGAGCCCATGTCCTAATGCAGAGAAAACCAGATTACATTGACTTGTATGCCTCTGTAATTAAATAAGGGCAATCCTGTATGCAGCTGCGCAGAGTTATTTACAATTCCATTTACTTATTTATGAAGATTTAGCAAAGAGCCTGCGTATGAATATTTATTTGGAAAGTAATCTTTTATTGACATCCAGGAGCACCCGGCTTTCATTGTGTGGTATGAGCAAAACAATTTTTGGCGCTCTAGCTTTGGTTTCTATTTTCTGCATACAGATTGAGTTTCCTCAAAAAGAGCAAAACAGCGAAATGCAAATAGCATACTTGAGCAAATTGTAATCTCCATTGATGCTGTAACTAAAAGCACTCTATGCGGGTGCTATGAGAAGGTCTCCATTACACTCTTCACCACAAAAATAAAGGCTCCTAGATGATTCCTGGCTTTTATATTGGGTTCTAGGTAGGGAAAACTGGTACATAAACTGGAGATTCTTTAAAATTTAAAAAGTCTCCTCATACTCACACATCTTATTTACAAAAACAGTTTTTTAAAAGGTTCTTTAGTGGTTCTACTACGGCATTGCTACAAAGAATCCTTTTTAGAATCTTTGTTTTTTAGAGTACAGGCCTGAATAAGCTGAAGAGTTGATACTCACATCAGGGTATTCTTTAACAGGCACATAGAGCTTCTCCTGGAGCTGAACGATGGGACCCACAGCATCTGGCAGCTCCGAGCTCCTCTTCTCCGTGCTGCCATTTAACGTGTCATTGTACATGTCCTTCCGTACCCTGCTGATCTCTGCAAGAAACACCAGACACACTCTTAAGTCACTGCAATCGGAACAAAATACATACTACTCAACATTCTGTATTCATACGGAGGGAGAGCTAGCAGTGTCTACCAGTAGTGTGTTGTTTGCAAATGAACCAGGGCTCTTTTAGGTGAACGTTGCTAGCTGACTGGCACTAAAGTTGTTTTTTATTTATTTTTTTTATTAATTAAATCAAAACAAATGGTTACATCTTGTGGTCCTGCAACTGAACATTCATCATTATTCTCTCCTGGGTGTCTTTTGAACCCATAATCCCCAACACATGTTGATTATTGTGTTACTGTGTCTCTGGTTTTGTTCTTGCTGTTTATGTAGTTCTTGGCAAACTTACTTGGTATAGTATAATGATTCAGAGCCAAATCTAGCAAGAATAGCAAGATGCTTTAATCTTCACTGTAACGTCTTGATAGTTTCACATTTATTTATAACAGTTTTTTATACAAAACACAATGCAGTGTTTGCTAATTAGGAAGTTAGGAGGTTTTACTGAAAATTAAGTGATAGATAGTATCACTATCTAGGCTCATTTTGGGAAAATATGGCAGTGCTCCTGAACAAAGAGCCGTCTGGGAGCTGAAAGGTTTGACTCTTATTGGTGAGCTGAGCCAATTGATCTGCTTCACTTAAGAGAGCTGGAATGTCACTCCATCAGTCTGACCTAGTGTATATTTAACCCTTTATAGCCGATGCAAAAACATGGTCATGTGAAGAACGTGATCTGACTAAGCCAGAAATTTGTAGATTGGACCACAAACTACACAAAACACTGTGTCACACATCCCTCCAGCCATGACTCTCTGGTGGGCTCTATTTCCCAGAACCCTTTGGATGAACACATGACTGTGACATCAGACCAGCCCACGTATCAGAGATCTGCCTCACCTGATTACTCACTTGTCGCACCTGTTTCTCACATTTTGTGATTAGCTCAGTTAGCATTTAAGCCGGGCTGTGGGTTAGCTCAGTGCGAGGTACTGCTTCTCTTATAGAGCTGCGTGGTCGTTCCCATGTTTTGTTGTTTGATTCAGGTTCTGACTTCTCTTCTATATTTTTGACTTTTCCTTTTTGCCTGCTCCCTATTTGGATTTTGTCTGCCTGATTAGATTTGCGCTATGTTCTTCTACCTGTGTATTTTGACGCTTTTGGATCTGACCTTTGCCTGTTTTTGATGATGACTCTGAAAAACGTACCAGCCTCATTTGTTTCTTTTATCTGCACACGTCTGACTCGTTCTATCAAGTTACACGCTGCTGTTTTTTTATCATCGTTAAAAAAATAAAAAAGCTCTTACCGATCCAAAATGTGCTCTGAATGAGCTCACGTGCTTGTTTAGAAAAAAACCTTGTGCATCTTTTACACAGTGATAGAAAACACTGTAGCAGATAAAAAGCTTAGATTCGCTTAAACACACTGTTCCACTCCAGCCAAGTTTAAGAAGCCGTCCTCAAATTGTAGTAATGCATCACCGCTGAGACGCTCAGCTCAATAGTCTTAACTAATAATCCAGATCGATTTTTGGAAGTAAGGTATTGGGTGGATTAATAATGAGGATGCATTTATTGCATTCTGGAAGAGCAGAGCACTTAGGCGACGTTGGCCTGCTGTGTCTGCATTTTATTCGTTTTAAAGCGTAAGCAAATAAATATTACATTTCTCCATAATGCTGGTGGATGTAGTCTTATTTTCTATGTTTCATAAATGTGTGTGCATTAGATTTCACTGAAAATAGTGGATATCTGAATCAAATTCCCAATCAATGCCTCCCTATTAATCCTACTTTCTTTTCTTTTCTAAGTTTTTAAGACTACTTGGATCTGAGGTATAAAACTGGGTTAAGACGATGCCGCAGGAAAGCAAAGTGTCCCATTTTGCCTCAAGGCCTGAAGGAGAGGTCTCTTTACTGCACCACTGCCCTGCAGTTTCCTCAGTGCACTGTGGCTGAGGTCTACAAAAGGTGCCACAAGGGCTGCTTCTGTTTTAAAACACACTCTGCTTGAAGAGGTTACAGCTGAGATCTACGGCAGGAAAGCCAAGGAACACGGAGGAAGGATAATCACTGTAATTACGCACAATCCCTTCTGTCACTTAATGAAGGAAGCAATAACTCTCCATTTCTTAAACCAACCATATTATCCTTGAGCAGAAGCAGAAGTGAGGGAATGAAGTGGGGGGGGTCTCGAAAAGAAACAGAAGGAAAGAGAAATGAGAGAGAGAGAGTGAGAGAAAAGAGAGAGAGCATTCTAATAAGGTGGGAAAGATAATTAAAACCACCAACTCTGTTAATATTTCATAAAAGACATTAAGTATCCTGGTCCCTAGCTGCCGCCGCTGTGCGTTGTGTAATTCTATTACTGGAGGATGAATTCTCTGGTGCAATTCTCAGGGGCAAACCAAGGAGGAGGGAGAGATGTAATTACAATGGGGATGGCTTGCTGCCATAGACATACTCTTGACACACACACACATACTTAAATGCCTGCCACTTCCATGACCTCTCCAATCCATATTCCAAAGCCTCCATAAGTCCTCTTTTATTTATGAGGACACACAAAAAAAGGCCCACGAATGCACAGGGTAAATACATCATCCCAAGCTAGGTAAATGAAAATGCGAAAGGTTAGTAACAGGCAATAATCAGGACAGCTATGCGCTAATGCATGATCAAAAACAACCGCACAAAGCGCACTGAAAGAACAGCTCACACCAACTAACCTTTCTTGATCAGATACATGGCCTGTGCTCTAAGCCTGCCCTGGCTAAACGTCTATTATACGGCATCTCTCGCTCATCTCAATAAATCGCGGCTTAAAAGAGCCCTTTTGATGGCCGTAAATGACGCTCGCGTTGTTATCAATGGTGATTTATACCTTTGGCGTGACATCCAAGGCCGTGGCTGTGAGAGAGAGAGAGTGGCACTAGGAGAGAACTTCCTTTGAAAGGTGACAAGAAATATGACAGGCACATCAGGTTGGCCGCACAGCGCGACGGTGTGAGGAGTCGCGCCGGCACATAAGGGATATCACTGCTACAGTGGTGACAGAGTGGTGAAAAGGAACTTGAGAGTAGAAAAAAAGCTCTATGCTTTATACTCCTTTGCAGTGACCGATCTTGAGAGCTCCAATTACCTAATGGAACAGAAATTCTCAATGTGAGACTTTGGCAAAGTGCTGCAACAATTATTTTTGTAAACGATTGATCTATGAACTAGTCCAGGGGTCGGCAACCCAAATGTTAAGAAGAGCCATTTTGTCCTTTCAGCAGAAATCAAACCACCTTGGGAGCCACAATATTTTATCTCCATTTTACCATCTTCGCTGTAAATATGTCTCAGTATGTGCTAATGGGTTAGTATAGACTAACAAATTTAATATAAACAAAAACACAGACCTACTTTGCTCTGCTTTAAGCTTGGAGAAAGTGAAAGATTAGAGAAAATTCTATTTTTCTCTAAACTATTCTTTTAAAAAATAACAGATAGCATGAGGCAGATGTTCAGACTTGACTGATAGTTCAAACCAATATCTGATTAAGCGTTTATTGTACTCCAGAATGTTTAGGCAAAGCTGAGCTACTGTGCTAATATGTCTGCACTGTATGTCTACACAAATTTTACTGCATTTGTAACACTGTAGAAATAAATGTTATGTTTCTCTGTAACGCTACTGCAGCACGTAGATGTACTACAAATTTATAGATTTTAGGCAAACATATTAAAGAAAAATATCAGCAATATTAAAAAAGAATAAGCCTACCATTGCTTTGCTAACTGTGCCTAGCCTACTGCACGGTGTGTACCAATGAACATTAAATCTCAACGTTTTTTAACAACAGCTGCGAGTGAAAATGTTGCAGAAGTTTTCGTACATGCATCCTTTCCTTCTGTACTACCATAGTGTGGTCGTGATAAGTGCAGGCCTAACTGCCCCAACACTTCCTGAAGTGTAATCTGTAATTTACTGAACTGATCACGAATATCATTCTTCACAACAAAAATGAATGTCATCTAGAGATTGCACAACACCACTTTTTCTTTTCTGACACCAACACTGAAACCTTGATTGTCGATCAATACGATCGATCAATAATTGAATTTTTTTATTTAAAATGAATTATTTTTAATTGAAGCACTTCTCTTAAGATCTACAAGTAGGCAATTATGCTGAAATTACTCAAACACTCTACTACTCCACAGGATGAACTACACAGCTAACGATATCACAGCAGACAGGATAGATGTGTTACAAGACTGAACCACATTAATTCTTTTTTCCCCCAATACCCACCCATTTTCAGCCAGATACTGAAACTTGGTATCACAATGGTGCCATCTCTAATGACAATGGAAAAACCAGTCAACGAATCATTGCAACTCTTCTCTGGAGGTCAGAAGTTCTGTGATTGCTTTTGTTGAGATACAATTAGGTGGACAATTAAAGTGAAAAATATGAGCATATGAAACTTACAAACACACATACACAATCACACTTAGATCTCCTGGTACTCTGCTCACAGCTGGGGTCTCAGACCTATCATTTCATTTCTAGCCTCACCTAATGATCCAAAGCCTCCTCATAACAACCCTGAATGTTGACTCTCTCCTCATGACAAAGGTGATATTTCTAACCATAACAGGGAATTAACCTCAGTTCTATAAATACCCAGAGACAATGATCTAAAACAGTAAATCCACTCCACCCAAGCCTGGTTGTATCTGCGTAGCGCATACAACAGGCTGCTATTCTCCCTGGTTCCTGGCACTCGACAGCTCGAGCACAGCGGCAGTGCTGAGGATTAGCCTGCTGCACGCAGGGAACAGGATACACTGAGTCTTTCATCAGCCGTGACGCCTGTGAATGTAGCCTCATTCTCCTCACTCTCCTGGGATACCGCGGCTCCAGTTATTACACCCGCACTTAGCTGTTGCTTTTTCACCGCCGCTCTCTTTGCCTGTCAGAGACCATACTGC